AGGTTAAATGGTTTTCCTATTACGTTACCTCGTTCCTTGGTCAGTGTTTTCTTACTGATGAATGCAACTTCCCACATAGGTTCACGCTGGTTTTCTTGCCTCCTTCCTTTCTTGTGATCAGTTTCCCAGACTTCTAAAGATAAGAAAAATTAACCGTACACATAAATACTAACACATTTCTTCTGGAATGCCACATATATACAAATGCCCTATGTTTTAGTGGATTTTGATTTCTTGTCTAGTCTCCAGGGAAGAAAATAACTATAAGTACTTATTTTTTCAATTTCTTCTGTTGGACATGAAAATACGAAAATGGAAACAAGAAACAAAAGGCCTGCCATTGTGGAAGAAAGGAGAGGAAACTACTACAAGCATACATCTGCATTCCGACGTCTGAGGAGTAACAGCAGCTACTAAATTCGTAACATCTCCATCTATCCTCCAAATACCTCTAAGGATCAACATAAGGAGAGCAAATAAAATGACCAATCAACAACCCATGACTTCAGCATAACTGGGAAATACAAAATACTACTGACTTCAAATCACCACTGAGGAAATAAACATTTAATACAAAAGAAACTGATAAAAGAGCTCACATCTATAGAAAGAGCTTGAGCCCGTGGCAACTACACGTAGAGGAAGACAGAGAACTTAGAGATAATTAAAGTCCTTTGTTTTAAATACTTATTTTTGAGAGAGAGACAGGGAAACAGAGTGTGAGCGAGGAAGGGACAGAGAGAGAGGGATACACAGAATCTGAAGCAGGCTCCAGGCTCCAAGCTTGTAGCACAGAGCACGACATGGGGCTCCAACTCACGAACCGTTAAGATCCTGACCTGAGCTGAAGTCAGACGCTCAACGGACTGAACCACCCAGGTGCCCCTAGAACGTATAGATAATTAAATGCAAATAAAATCACTCCCTCAAAGGAGAAGTCCCACCGTGAGAGGGAAAATATGGAGCAGACATCTTCGTTCTGACAGATGACAGCTCAGACCACCGAGAACTCCGACACAAGGGACTTGGGAGTATTAATGGGAACTACGGAGGCAAGGGCTGATCGGGTGAAGAATTCAA